ATCGCACACACCTACGACGGTAGCGGATATTTCCCAGAGTTGAGATGGCCCATCACCACGGCAGACACCCAGGAATACGTTCTGGTGTGCGAAGACCCCGACGAACCTCTGACCGCACCAGTCATCCACGGACTCTACTATGGAATCCCACCGGTGTTCATCGGTCTGCACCGTTCCGACTTCGTTGAATCGGACTCCAGGAATGATCCTTATCGTCTCCGCGGTGGTTTCAAATATGGAGCAAACAGCGGAGGAGGGATCTATCTGGCGCCGCAACCAGCTCGAGGCCAGGGCCCTCATCGATATTTCTTCGAGCTCATCGCGCTTAATCATACTATCGACCAAAGTAAACTCAGCCCTATGGCGACTTTCGATGAGATTGCCCGTCAGATGGAAGGCAAAATTATCGGATGGGGCGAGTGGTATGGAGTTGTCGAGAGAACTTGACAGGGAATGTATGAATAGCAGATGTTGGCGTAACGCTTTATGATGTGCTCGTGCAGTATGCACTACTCAATGGGAAGTCAATGTATGTATTAAGTAGCGCCAATTAGTGATTCCTTTTGACAATCTTAAAACAATTGCGAAGTCGTCAGACCTTGTAAATACAACGTGTGTATGCTTAAGTTGAACGTCGTCGTCACGTATCATACAGGGGATCTCTTCCTGAAATTAGAATTTCATTGGATCCACAGGAAGACTCTGTTTTGATAAGGTAAACTTGTAGCTTAAATCTATGCCAGAAGGTGGCCATGTTATCTATCCCGCAAAATGTTTGCGGAGAGTGATCGGGAAGGTATACATTGATAGTCCCGCTCAGGATGAAGATATTGGTCGGTATCATTTCGAATATGTACCTGTTACAGAAACGGTAAACGGCATTCCTTTTTCCAATGAAGACGTGACATCACTTCATTCAAGGTTAGTTAGTATGCCCGACTAACTTTACTTGCGAGGTAACAAAGGACAGGGCAACAGGGCACAGCAATAGTTCTCGGAAAACATGGGATTTCATCGCCTCGCCTCACTACCTCAACTCTCGAGAGAAAGTCGATGAAGGTAGAAAAGGTATAAATATGTCCAGTATCTCTATTCGTTAGCTTCCACTGAACCGGAAAACAACAAAACTACAGAATCTTTATATCACCCAAATGAAGGCCTCGTACACCCTCTCTCTTTTTGCTTTCAGCTGCATTGCAGGAGTAGAAGCAGTTCCACAGCTGCTATCATCGCTGGAGTCCACTCCCCGCTGGGACATACAACAACCTTTGGATGGCCATAGGGTCGAGGTAAGATTCTATCATCGAGAAAATGGGTGGTTCTGGAAGACCAGCGATCTGGACCTGGACCAGTGTTTTGGTGTAGACACCGACAAGAAAGAGCTGATCGCCCAGGATAAGTACGTGGCATTGTCCTGGCCTAGTGGATCTGAATCTGAGATGCTGATATATTTGACGTGCAGTGGAAAAGCCCTGAGCAAGTGCGAGGAAGAGGGCGGGGCGTGCGCGGTATCTATACTAAGAAAGGCGGTACCGGTGGATTATACACTGCACTGTAACTGTTCATCGTTTAAAGGCAGCATTGATCTGAGTGAGTACAGTTGCGCTGCGTCTTATCATGAACTGTGTGCATGGGTAATTAATAATCTGGCATAGGGACTGTCCTCAAATTCCATGGCAAAACTGGCGATGCTGAGTGCTTCGGGCACAAGGGTGTGAATGGCTTGTTAGAGAGTATCAGATCAAAATTCGGCTCGTCTGGCTGAGAGGCGCGCTGGTGGCTTGGTTTTGTATCAAGACTAGTCGAAGGACTCGGATACATTCATTCAATACCAATAGTAACAAATCAATTTGAAACATACCACGATGTGAAAACAAAGACAGCCTCTACCGCAGGATTCCAGTGTCCGTCCACTTGCTCTTGTCCCGATGAGATTCTTGTTCTTATACTGATCGTAAAACTTCGCCGTGGCCCAGACTCCATTAGATATTCCGCCACACGTCTTCTGCCCTGGCAGGTCCACCCTCTTTATGGTTGGTGATACAACTATTAGTGAATTAGATAGGATTCCTCATGAGGTATGCTTCAAGCATGCCTCATTTCATTGTTGGCAGGAATTATGATGCACGCTTGTTCGCTGCTGCGTCCCCGAAGACATGCTCTTGCTTGGTGCGCTGGCCGAATTCCTGAGCCAACTTAAGCGCTGGACAACAGAAAATAGGCATCTCGATGAAAGAAGATGGAAACTTACAGTCAGAAAGCTTAAAGGATTGGCGTATTTGCTGATGCACCGAGTCTTCCAACTTTGTGGTCACTCTTTGGACCGAAAATTCCATGGTCATGTTTTGGAGTTCCAATATATTAAACTGGATTAAAAACATATAAGAAGATAGTCTCATTCAGCTGCACCCCAGGTAGATAGTTCGTAAGAACTAAGATAATGTATCCACGAGGCACTGGATCTGTGTTCTTCTGACGGTCGTATTTCATTTCCACAATACTCGGGGCGGAGGGGGAGCCACTACTCGTCACGGTACGGAGTAATCAGTGCGTTAGCTTGACTAGTAATATCAAAATCCTCCCCAAAGGTTCTGAGGCTTGAAGAGCCCTGTGCTCAGCCGGCGCGCGCTCAGATCACTCATATTACCGATACTGATAGCCGAAGCAAGATGAATATTATTGATGAGCTGCAGAACGTCGTCGCAGAGGCTCCTCCTCAGACTTTTTTGAGACAGCAAGAAGGTGAGACTCTCAACCGACGACTCAGTCTTATCTCCGCTCACGAGTGCCCAAAAGCGGCATGGAGATGATCAATTCCCTTTGTGAGAAGGCTGGGCTCGATCCTCACCGCCAGGAAAACTCAGGGACCATCGGCAACCCGTGATTATGATAGGTCGGGATCGATGTAAATTGAACAATGAGTTCTGTCAACCTCGTATAAGCCCAAAAAACCCGACGGTGGAGACGACCCAAACAGCCTTCACGAGAGTTCGATTGGTTCTGTTTTCTATATTCGAACCTTGTAACCGAAGACGCAGGGAACCGCAGCGGCGCAGCCTCACGCTTCCGTTTCAAGACAGCTGACAATGTCTGAGATATCATGTACCCAATATAGCTAACGTTAACTGACATAGTCAGCTATATTGTTTTGCATTCATTTGCGTATTTGGTTTTAATCCGACACCTATTTCTAAGGTATATAATCAGTTGTGGCTGGATTCAAGCGTACCTACAAGCACCAATAACTTCCTGTCAAGTCAGCACGCAGCACGTGACTCAACCGATTGGCGGCTAAGCCGGCCTAAGGCAACCAGGCGACCAATGGGACGGACAGCACAGCCACAGGCTAGCTCCGGATGAACAGGTTTAACTCCAAACTTGACCTTGAGGGCAGATCCGGCACCCGGTTCGGTCGGAGCTAAAATCAGAACGGCACTTGTCCGAATGCAGAGTGGTTAACCAGGGAATGGGTTTCGATTCAGTTCCCCAATTGAGATTCTGGCCTTGTGGTTGTGTCCCCATTGTACCTGTTGAGGACCCAATTGACTACCTAGGTATGAAAGAATGTAACCTTCACTGAGTTTGCGTCAACCGAGGTTGTGACTAGGAACCAGGGGGGTCGTTGTTCAAGTTGTCCAGGTGAAAGAAGGAACCGGTGCCAATGATGATCCAATGGTGTTGTCAATAGTGGCTTACGAGATGGAAGGAAGCGATCTCCAGTGATCGACACGTTCTTCTATCTCAAGAATAATACGCCGACCCAATACGGGACGATTAGCGATGGTTGTCGGGGTACTATTGAGTACTCCGTTGAGGCTAGAGTATGGAGTACTACTGGGTACTTTCGTTGTGGAGGAGTGTTTGGTAGCGATGGAAGTCTCATTCAGTACCGGTTCACCTGAAGCTAAGTGGGGAAACTCTCGTCTTCTGATCTCACAGTGGTGTCATCATCGACGGATTAGTGTTTTTTTCTTCTCTCGTATCAGTTGTTCGGTAGGATCTCGGCCTCTTTTGTCTCTCTCCGTACCGGATTCTTTTTTTGATTTTGGTTTTTTACCCGACTGGTCTTGAACTCTGAGACATGCAAGGACGAATCATGATTGACGTTGACCTCGCATCTGATAGCTATTTATATGAACTTGCAGAGCGTTGCCTTACCGCGCACCACCTATCGCTTTCTTAACATCACTGGTATGCGTCTTCATGCATAACTGGGCTTAGTGCTGACGTCGCCCGAGGAGACATGGAGGAGATTTATCTGCCCGATAAGCGTACATACCTTACATACTTTCGTACAGTCCAAACAAATACTTAAAGAGAAGCCAAGTCGCATCGGTGCATTGCCACTTGCTGCTGAATTTAGTGCATTCCGACCATGGGTACCACTTCAACGATTTAACTACTATACTAGTTCCTTCGTAGTCTCCTTCTAGTCGGCAATGGACTTGCTATTTCCAGTGTCTTGACTCTTCCAAGGTCTAATCTGAGTGGTTTTCCACGAGGGAGATCCACCGTGTCTGTCAATGTGATTCGTTACATTACCTGTTCCTTGAATTGACAAGAAACAAAAAGAAAATTTTTTCTTGTGTTTTCTTTTTTTACTTTCCAGGTTTCTGGCGGATCCGAAGCCGACGAACTAACGATCCGACTAACTTGGAAGGCTGACTGAGGTTCCATTATCAGGCCTGAAACCCAGAAACACAACAAAAAGCCCTTGTTCGCTACTATTAAGTGCAACCCTTTTCTCTTTTTTCCTTTTTCCTCCACATCCTTTTTTCCCTCTCGCTCCCATTGTTCTTAATTCACCTCTTTGGTCATATTTGCTTTTCTTGTGGCTTCAACGACTCGACAAGGGGTTCCCGACCGTTTCCCAATTGATAAGAATAAACTTGTCGTCTTTTGCTGCCTATCAGTCCACCCGCCAAGCTACCAATCAGCTTGTCTCAAGAACCACCCGACTCATCTGTTCTATACTACTTCATCCGACCTCAACAGTCGCCATGAATCGTCTTCTGAAGCTGACCGTCTTCTCTTTAATCGCATCCTCTGCGATTGCGACCGGCACTCCGGAGCAGGTGGTATCCGAGGCCAACGCGGTGTCCGACAAGTCCGATTTCTACAGCGATCTCGAGAACCTCGACATCCACAAGGCTCTTCACCTGTTCGAGAAGTTCCGTCATGGCGTCTTCCGCCGCGACGAAGACGCTGTGGACGTTCTCAGTGCCGAGGATAGTTCGCTGGCCGCCCGTCTGAACCTTAAGAGGCAGAACAGCTCGGCCGCAGTCGAGCCCTCAGCCACTGTAATACCATCCTCTCCTTCCTCCAACACTGAAGCTCCCTCTTCCACCACGGAAGCTCCCTCCTCCCACACCACTGAAGCTCCCTCTCCTTCATCTTCTTCTTCCACTACAGAGGCTTCTTCTGCTTCTTCTGCTTCATCGTCTGACTCGTCGACTTCTCAGGCGGAACCAACCACCTCAGCGGAGCCTACCACGCCGACTCAGAAGACCACCGTCGAGCCAACCACCACGGAGCCTACCACGACCGAGAAGCCCACAGCTTCCCCCACGACCTCGGAGAAGACTACCGAAAAGCCCACGACCAGTGAGAAACCCACTACCTCCGAGAAGCCCACTACCTCGGACAAGACCACCTCCGAGAAGACCACCGAGAAGCCCACCACCACCAATCAACCCAAGCCCACCACCACCGACAAGACTACCAGCGAAAAGACCACCTCGGAGAAGACCACTTCGGAGCAGACCACCACCTCAGACTCCACCACCAGCAAGGGCCCAACCACCATGCAAACCACCACCTCCGCCCCGGAGCCCACAACCACCGAACAAACAACCAAGCACACAACCCCCTACACCTCCACCTTCAAGAGCACTACCACGCTCCCCAACGGCGAGCAAAGCACCATCACCTCCATCACCGTCGTGCACCCCACCGAAACCGAGATCGCCACGCCCACCGGTGCTGCCCCTGGCCTGCAAACCGACAACGCAGCCCCGACCACCGGTCTCACCCGCGAACTCTTCGTCATGGTCGGTGGTGCCGCCGTCGTGGCCATGGCCCTGTAATCGGGACATATGGTGTTTCTGAAAATGTGGCCTTGTTTGTATTCTTGTCTTCTTCTGCATGAATGGCGTTTGTTTTTTTTCTTTTCTCTTTCTCTTCTGAAAATATTCGACTCTGTTACGTTGGTGTTTTACGCCGTTCTGACGCCCGCTTACGATCCTTGCATACTTGGCGTCTTCCTTCCGAAATGTGTCTCTCCTTTGAAGCTGGGGGTCAGGGTTTGGTGTTATGAGCGTGGACATGTCTCTCCTTTATGTGGTTCTGTCGAGCGTGTGCATATTTAGATCTTTGTTCTGTACTGCAGATATTGAGCAATCGAGGTATTGGTAGATATGCTGGAGTGGGGTTTCTTGGAACTTGTAAATGACATGGTTGTTCTGGTAGTACGTAGTGTGTGTATATATATAAGCTTGATCGTAATATCGACATAACTAAACAGACAGAGATAAAAGAACTTTGACTGAGTTGGCTGCCCCGCCCCATCTATCACCCGCATTTCCCCTTTCTTATTCGCTGGATTCGAATATCATGCAAGAAATCTACGCCTGCGACAGATAAGTAGGCTCGTGACCATGCCACCTCTCCTCTTCCGTCCAATACCGCACGATACTCTCCCACGCCGGGATATCCCCGTCTCTCAATAAGACCGCCACATCCACGTTCAGCGGGCTATCGGGTTCTGGGTTCGTCAGGAGCTGCTGGATCTCCGTCAGGGTCGACGAGAGCGTGTACGCGGGAGTCCAGTGCTCCGTCGTGAGGAGGGTCAGGCAGATTTCGCCGGTGGTGAAGGAGATGTTGGGGTGGGAGATGCGGGTGTTGAAGCGGATTGTGGGCGGTGCGTTGGGGTAGTTGGGGGGTATTGTTATCGAGAGGGACCACAGGCCACCTGGATTATTATATTGTTATTAGTCGCGATTCTGGGAGCGGTGAAGTGGGCGGGGAGGGGGCCGGTTGAGGAGGGTATTTCGTACCTTCGTATGGTGTTCCCTTGACACCCTTGAGAACTGCCTCCCAGTGGAGGAGGTCATCGCTGTCGACGGGGCCGAGGTGCAGGAGCGCTTCGTTTGGATTATTGGTGTAGTCTTTCAGTTCGCGGAGGAGGCGTTTGGTGGTGCTGGATGACGCCATGAGGGCGATATGTGGAATGTGGATCGCAGATTTGTCGCGCTGCGATGCTTGTTTATTATGGGAGTAATCAGAATGTGAGATTTAATTGAATATGCTTTGGCGTTGCTGTTGTCGGCAGATACTTCGAGGATTAAAAAGCAAGGGATTAAACCTCACGGCAAACTTAGTGGTTACTCACCGCGAGAGTTGCGCCGAGGCTTAACACCCGGCCCGTGGGTCTTTCTTCCCCATGCAATTCTGCGATCGTCCGCTCCGCATGAATGCGCTTGGCAACCCAGCCTGTCCAACCCCTAAAAATTCCGTCGATCCTTGATTCATGTGAATGTCATAACATATGCAAGCTACACATACATAAGGAACCTTTGTATTGAACTATGCGAACGTCTCGGGCATCCAAGCAGACTGAGAAAGTCTTGCAGGCGCTCTCGCCCCCTGCGCGCCGGCAAACGCGCAGTTCCAATCTACGCAGGTTTGCATATAACGGGAGCTCTAATGGCGATGTTGAACCTAAGTTACCTGCAAGTGATGATGAAACATCATCTCTCTCGTCTCTCGACACTGTCGATATTGAAGATATAATGGAGCCCCCGGCAAAACGGCGGAAACGCAAAGTAGACCCTGCACCACCGCGGAAAATCAATTCTCGAGCTTCAACAAGGGTTCCTGAGAAGACGATTGAAAAAGCTCCCAAGACTGAGCCTGTAGCACAGAAAACACGCCGCACCCCTGCACGAAGAATCAAAGAAGAGGATGGTTCATTCAAAGTAGAGCCACCCTCTAATTGGGACACGATATACGCCACTGTCAAAAAGATGCGCGAGGCTAACCCGACTGCACCGGTGGATACCATGGGATGTGCCGAGCTGTACTGGCGAGCATCATCTCCCCGAGACCGACGGTTTCAGACTCTCGTTGCGCTGATGCTGTCTTCCCAAACGAAGGACACCGTCACGGCTGTGGCGATGCAGCGATTGCACACTGAACTTGGGGATGGCAAAGCTCCTCTGATAGATACTGGTGTAATCAAAGAAGAGCCAGACGAGGACACGTTCAAGTTGGAAAGGCCTCTCAGAGACAGTACTTTGAATCTTGAGAATATTTTGGCTGTTTCCCCCGAGCAGCTGAACGAATTGATCGGTAAAGTGGGCTTCCATAACAACAAGACCAAGTATATCAAGGCCGCAGCTGTCATTCTTCGTGATCAGTACGAAGGAGATATTCCATCCACTGCCGAAGAGCTGATGAAGCTCCCCGGAGTAGGCCCGAAGATGGCATATCTCTGTATGAGCGCTGCTTGGGGAAAGCATGAGGGTATTGGGGTTGACGTCCACGTCCATCGTATCACGAACCTCTGGGGCTGGAACAAGACGAAAACACCTGAGGAGACCCGCAAGGCGCTGGAATCATGGCTGCCAAAGGATAAATGGCATGAAATCAACAAGCTGCTTGTCGGGCTTGGACAGACGGTCTGCTTACCAGTAGGCAGGAAATGCGGGGATTGTGACCTCGCGGGGACGAAACTATGCAAAAGCGAGATCAGAGGCCTTGTATCTAGCAGGAAGGTCAGTGCTAAGGAGGAGAGTGTTGAAGGCGGAGTGGAAGTAAAAATTGAGGGGGAGTGAGTAGAGTGCCCCAGGCACGAGGTTCTGGTTTTAACTTGATTTCCCAGCTGGGAACCACCGACATCAATTGACTTTTATTACATGCACAAATACTTCTCGTCTAATCTCGTCTACTCCTCATCCTCCCAGTAGTCAACCTTGCTACTATTCCTACCTTCTTTTCCCTTCTGATGCTCCAGCCAGCCCGCCTACCTATCTATCGAATGTCTTGTTGCAATTCATGATCAACTTCATGAACCGTTAAGCGATCCTTACGACGCGCTCTTTACGAGGCGATTCTCTACCGATATTCTCATTCACTACGTGTAAGGCCCCTCCATCCCTATTCACTGTCAAATGCTCGTCTTCGTAATTCCCGGGCAACCTGCTGACTGTTGTGCTGTCAAAACAATCACAACAGGCCCGGAATGGATACCTTGGACCCCGATGAACAGGCCTTTTGGCAATTATACAATGAATTGAACCCTCCCCCTTCTTCTATGGAGAGCCTCAGCGGGACGGAATCCCCGTCAAGCGATGCAGGTTCTTTGTTTGCCCCTTCTGACATGGAGGTCGCCATGGGCCTCTCACTCCAGCCGGGTGCATCGTTTCTTAGTTTGCCAGAAACTGTCAAGATCAAGATTCTGCAGTATGCTGGACTACTACGCCCTTGTCTGATTGACATAACTAGCGAGTGTGTTCGCTGGAACCCCACGCTTCAACCGTTGTGTACTCGCAGCTCCATGCGTGAGACTAAGGGATCATGGACTGCCTTTGTTGACAAAGGCTGTACTCACCCCCGGCTGCCCACTGCATTGTTCCAGACCTCTCGTGCTGTGCGCGATGAAATTGGTTCTATGTTTTTTGGCCTCAACAGATTCAGCGCTACTCTCTACAAGAGGGCAGACTTTTGCAAATTCCGTGAAGGGACACTTTGGGGTATGGAGCACTTGAAATATCTACATATTGACCTGGGTCCTAGTGACAGGCGCTTTCTCAAGCTGTATGGGGGGATCCATCGCACAATCCTGAAAATGTGGCTTGCTTTTTGTGACTTGGCTGCAGCGAGGATGCCTTCTCTCACGTACTTCAGCCTGAAGTGCAGGGTCAAAGATTTGGAGGTTGCACACAAATTGATGTGCGCGATGGATCATTTTCCTTCTTTGGCGCAATGTGCTATTCATTTCAATCAGTACCAGGAGAACGACATTCGAGCCGTGATCAAGCGATCCTGCTGGAGGCTGACCAACAACCTTGGCGATAGAGCTCCGTTTGGATTTCTGCGCCTTCCAAAAGAGGTGCAACTTCTTATACTAGAACAACTTCTAATCAACCGCCCTGATCCGTATATCATGGCTTCTGAGTGTCCAAAAGGCCTCGTGACGTTGCAAGACCGCAGACGCCAACGACCGACCATTTATCCCCTCACGTGTTGCGGTACTTGCTCACCCTTGCGAGCTATGTGCTTCTGCTACGCTCGCCAAACAGCGTTCTCCACCACCTGTTCTTGTTTCTCCTCGCCAACGCCCTATTTCCTAGTCAGCCGAGGATTCTATGAGGATGCCCGTCGTGTCTTTTTCTCGAAGAACAACTTTGCATTCACGGATGAAGACCCTGAGCTCATAATGAGACTTCTGCACAATATGCCTACATCGTCCTCCATGCAGATCAGGCACCTGACGTTCAAGTTTCCTTTGACCTTTCGAAGCCCTGCCAGGACTGCTCACAGGGTGGAGGATGCAGCATTGTTGTCTTGGTCAGTGTTGCGCCGCTTCATCCGTGAACACTTTGATATCCCTCGCCTGTCGCTCACAATCATCGACCTTGGCACGAAGAACTATGGCAATGGGGCAACCCCAGGTAGGAACAAATACCTACGCAAACTCCTCAGAGCATTTGCGGACCTACGTGGCCTCCGAGACTTTTGTGTGTATTTGGCGGATGAGCGTTCATATGAAAGAGACGCGGAACGTGCTGTGCTGGGTTTTGCGTGTCATGGAAGATCCAAACCCAGCCACATGCCGTTTATTGGCCAAAAACATCTGAACACATAAACCGCCAGTTTGGAGCAAGTCGGCCTCAGGCTGATAGTATTTGCCACTGGAGCATCCCATATCATTCGCCTATTCTTTAGTTCTCATCATCCAATGCCTGATGATCAAGCTAACATAACATTCCATAATATTCCTCTTGCGCGCTCGGCGCCTGAGACGCAAACTCCCTTGCACAGAACACACATTTTTGTACAGGCCCTCCAATTTCAAGACAACCGTTGATGCACATTTGTTCGCCAGCAAGGCCACCTCGAGAAGGCTCAACGATGTACTCCAATCTCCGGAGACGCAGCTGTCTGCCCTAAGAAAGTATGGAGGATGTGCTTGTGAATATCTCATTTCTTTTCTAGCCCTCGGTCCATTTGTTATCTTCTTTTTCGTCCACAGATGTATTTTTCAAAGTTAGTTAATGAGTTTTGTTTTCGTTCCACATTGGTATACATCCTTCCCATAGAGGCCATTAGATCCAGTATTTGTCATGGTTCTGGGGCGTTGTGAAAAGAAATACTGAGCCCATGTATAGTATCGCCATGTTTGTATTAATCTGATCAAACTTACAGAAAGGAAGAAATATCCTCAAATACCAATCGCCAATTGAATCGACTTAGCAAGAATCATTGATCACATTGTAAACACATGACTAAGCAGATCAATTTATGAAATCATTAAACCCCCCGCGGACATAAAACCCCACCAGCTCGCTCTTAATTCCGAGCACAACAAACCAACGTCCTCAAGCTCTACACAACAATATCCAAAGCCCCACACAGCAGAACATTCTCATTCCGGAAACAAATAATCCATGACCTTCATCGACCCAAAACCAATGTTTATATAAATACCAACCAAACCTATACCTCATGGCTCCAGCACCAATCCCCATACCCCTCTTCGCCCAAACCCAGCAACAGCTCCTCCTCCAAGAGCACGAAGCCGAAGTCTCGTCCTCCACGCTCGCGAGCACCGCCGCATCCGTCTCACCCTCCACCAGACGAACCCTCCAAGCAACAGGCTATGCGCTAACGGGGATCGTCCTCTCACAATGCCGGACCGGCTCGGCGGCCGCGTCGTGGGCGAGTTCGGCGCCGATTCGGCCGTTTCCGCGAAGAATACAGACAGCGATGGGAAAGACGGAGAACCTCAGTTCGGGGCGCATGGGATTCGCGTGGGCGATGTGGTCCGGGTGAATGAGATCGGGAGCTCTACAAAAAAGGTAGGCAAGGACAAAGCCAGCAAGGATGGGAAATCGGCGGGTGCAGGGCCACCCAAGGGCCCGGAGGGCGTTGTTACTCGGGTTGGGGAGCGGAGCATCTCGGTTGCGTTTGGTCAACGGGGCGGCGGAGGACGATCCAAGGAAGATGACGAGGCGATCGAGGAGCTATGGGGGAAGAAGCTCTGGCTGATAAAGCTCGCGAACGATGTCACATATCGACGGATGAACCAGACGATGGAAAAGATGGGGAAGATGACCGAGTCCGATCACACACATTTTATGCGGGTTGCGTTTGGACATACGACGCCGCTGCTGCCGGATTATGAGGCTGTGGGCGCGGTTGAATTTAACGACCCGACGTTGAACGATTCACAGAAGGAGGCTATTCGGTTTGCGCTGGCATCGCGCGATATTGCGCTTATTCATGGTCCGCCGGGTACGGGGAAGACGCATACCTTGATTGAGCTTATCCTGCAAATGGTGCAGCGGAAATTACGGGTGCTTGTTTGTGGACCGTCGAATATCTCGGTGGATAATATTGTTGAGAGACTCGCGCCGAAGAAAGTGCCCGTTGTGCGTATTGGCCATCCGGCGCGTTTGTTGCCCTCTGTGTTGGAGCATTCTTTGGAGGTTCTGACGCATACGTCGGAGGCTGCTTCTATTGTGAGGGATGTGAGGAAGGAGATTGATGAGAAGCAAGCTAGTATTCGGAAGACTAGGTTTGGGAGGGAGAAGCGGGCTATCTACCAGGATTTGAAAGAGTTACGTCGGGAATTCAGGGAGCGGGAGTCTAAATGCGTGGATAATCTGGTTAGAGAGAGCAACGTGGTTCTTGCGACTCTACACGGAGCAGGTGGCCATCAGCTGAAGAATCAGAAATTCGACGTTGTGATTATTGACGAGGCCAGTCAAGCTTTGGAGGCGCAATGCTGGATTTCGCTGCTGTCTGCATCTAAGGTTGTTCTGGCTGGTGATCATCTACAACTACCTCCAACTGTTAAGTCCACTGTTCAGAAGTCCAAAGATGCAAAGACCGGGAAGGCGGACACTGCCAACGATAGTGACCAGGGAAGTCTTGGTAAAATGTCTCTTGAAACTACCATGTTCGATCGACTGCTTTCGATCCATGGTGAAGGTATCAAGAGAATGCTAACGACACAGTATCGAATGCACGAAACAATCATGCGGTTTCCGTCAGATGAGCTATACGAGTCTAAACTGATGGCTGGCGAGGCGGTAAAAGCTCGTCTTCTAAAAGACCTACCGTACGAGGTCGATGAGACCGACGATACAAAAGAGCCGTTAGTGTTCTGGGACACCCAGGGAGGCGACTTTCCTGAGAAGACTGAAGATAAGGAGGTCGGGCAGAAGGAGGCCCTTCTTGGTGAGAGTAAGAGCAATGAAATGGAGGCCATGGTTGTTGCGAGGCACGTAGACAACCTGGTACAGTCCGGGTTGAAACCGGAGGACATCGCTGTCATCACCCCTTATAACGGCCAGCTGGCTATCTTGTCGCAGATGCTGCGGGAAAAGTATCCGGGTATCGAGTTGGGCAGTGTGGATGGATTCCAAGGTCGCGAGAAAGAGGCCGTTGTCGTCAGCCTGGTGCGAAGTAATAGCGAGAATGAAGTTGGTTTCTTGGGAGAGAAGCGACGCCTGAACGGCATGTATGTCTCCATTTCTGCAGGGCATGTATGCTGATTTACTCTACTAGTTGCTATGACACGCCCCAAACGGCATCTCTGCGTCTGTGGTGATTCAGAGACCATCAGCAAGTGAGTCCCTTGTCCTGACTACAACATCCCCTTGGCCCGCTACAAGTAGTTTTACTTGGGTGGATCTTGCTAACCTAGCCTTCTGTTATAGAGGAAGCGGGTTCCTCAAGCGGTGGATGGCATTCTTGGAAGAGAACGCCGACTTGCGCTACCCAGATGCTGGGGAATTGCTCTGAGACAATCTGCTCCAAACCTCAGTTTCGTCTCTACTCCAACACACTATATCCCTCAACTGTGGAGAGGGCGACTAGCAGGGTTACCCAACAGAGTTCGACACGATGCAAATCCCTGGAGGATGTTCACACTCAATCGGGTCTACGCCACGACCTTGGAGGTGCGGAAATTGCGAGCAGCGTCGCTACCATTATCGCTGCCATTATGGCGCCCCACCCTACGTTACATCAACTCCTTTGTTGATGATAATGGGAAGGTAAACCCCGTAAGACACGTCCGTGTGAGTTTCTGCAGCAATTCATGGAAGGGACTAAGCCTACTGGACTTTCCCTTATGTGGTTACGCCAAAGGAACGATTTCAAATCCGCCAGCATCCTCTGAAAGCCCTTGTTCTGTGGGAATGCGTTGGAAACATTATCCACCCATATTCACAAGTCAATACAGAAGCACGAGCAGGCCATACTGAACGAATTGAAGGATGTCACGTGTCAATACCAATTCTGAGAGATATCTTCCCAGGAACGTGATCGGAGAAAATAGAATATAGATGCACGATACGACACGGGTAGAGCCGGAGACGCATATCACACTCTATGCCTCTATACCACCGAGATCATAAACTATTCCATATATAAAATCTTTCTAACAACCAATCGAAATTAGTCAATATAACCTCTCAACTCCAAACCCAGCCAAAAACTAACGCAACCCAACACAATAACGAAACCCCCCGCATCCCAAAAAGCCCACGTACCAAACCCCCATGCTAGTGAGGGGGCACACATCTAGACCTGCCACGTCAACGCTGACTGCGATCTTGCATGGAGCCTAAATCCCTAGTCGGCTTGGCTCTTACCCCTGCTAGCCAAATGTTTTCCAGAGGTATCCCACTAGAAACCATCATCACAACATACTACTATATCATCTCTGTCTTTGTCTCTAGCACGATAACATTCTTCACGACCCGAGCATCTGCCGAATAGATCATCAGGGGTAAAAACCCAGCACCCGATCCCAATTCCAAATACCGTGCAAATCCGTCCCGCCGCCCCTCCTCTTAGCTTGTCGCCGGAGACGTCGCTCCCTACTAAACTCGACCACACTAGTCTAGGGCCCGTTCGCGATCAGCGCTGACATTTGCCGCTAAGCGTCGGGATTCTGATACAGTCCGGCGCTCCGATTATCAGCGCGCGCACGGCCGTTATCGGTTTTGATTTGTTGGGTGGTTTATCGTCGTGCTAGATTACTTTTGGGTGTTTTTGTGGGGTTGCGGGTGGTGTAATTTTTGGGACTTTTTTTTTGGGGGGGGGGGGGGGGGTCTATGGTCTTGGGGTTGGACTTTGGGGGTGTGAAGAGAGCGGATTGTATATAAATAGAAGGAAAGGCTGGTGGGCGTTTCAGTGGGTTCCTGGTGGTGTGTCTGGGGAGTTTGGGTTCGGGGATGTGGCTCGTTTTGGGGTATGATCATTCTTTTCGGAGCTGGGTGTGGATGTTGGATGGAGTGTCGAGGTGTGTGTGTTGTACATGGTATAATATATTCCGCCGCGTGTCAACGTGAGTGTTAGCGGAGTATATGATATTCATATTTATATATATCCTGGCGACGACAGGGTGATACGGCATGCTCTACATTTCTCAGATCGGACAAGGCGTCCAATGAGATCCCATCGATGTTCCTAGGATTATGCAGGTCTACCTGATCCTATCCTCGACGAGCGACGTCCCAGAGGAATCGTGGACGGTGGAGTAAGCCTGTAAGGGAGCCACTTGGTGCGTCTCAGCTTTGGGCGGGTTCCACTCTTCCCATGCATGTCCAGCGCATCGTTGCATAACAAGCCCGGGTTAGTGTATTCTGACGTCTGCGAAGGATTTTCTTATTTTCTTACTTTTCCTGTTGTTCCAGCGTCTCTGCTGGCGGATGCTGGTCGCTGGTGAAACGCTATTGTCTGGGAACGTGGGACAGCAAAAAAGGACACATGAGAGATTAAGTAAGGTGGCACAAGGCGCCGATTCTTGATCTCTGGGTGCGCTATTTCCGCAACCAAGTGATCTGTAATCTGGACGACTTACTTTTTGGGTTGTATGCGATGTGAGTCGTATCATTGAGAACAGAGCCATGCAAGTGACATCATATGCAGGCTGCACTCGGCCCTCTCTCCACCTCGTTCACCGGTCTACATGGCGTGACTGTGATCCCTCTCCAATTGGTCCGTGTCGCGTTTCAGACTCACTCCGAGGGGAAAGAGCCTGTTTTAGGCTTCCCGTCCCAGCCGTTAATGGTGGAGGGCATTGTGGCCATTGTCCCCTCTTTCTGTCGGAGGAGGTCGATATGAGATCGTAGTGGGGAGAGTTCGGATGCGCTGGCCGAGAAGTGATCCGTATAGATTAACCCGGAGCAGATAGATTACAGACCCAGAAGTTCGTCACGGCTATCGTTCCTTTTGTTCCCTGCGTCGGGGAGTATGCGCCGTGTTCGTCGGCGACGTCTCGGGGAGGAAAGAAAAAAAAACTCGAAAATAGGTTGGAATAGCGGTGAAGCAATGCTCTCCCTGTCCCCAAGATTTGGTCATCTTATCTGGGTGGAAGAGTATGATATCGTGCTGGGGTGCGGAAGAGAAATCGATGCATTGGCCGTATATAGCTAGACTAACCGCACTATTTCATGGTGTACCGTGGAATCATGTCCGTGCTGGGAGGCTTTGAATGGGTGGAGACGGTAGCAAAAGTTGGTTGACTTGCTTGAGCCTTGTCGGGCCATGGCGAATAACAGGCGCTGGAGGAGGGTTCCTGACAAGCGTTCCATGGTCGATGCTCGGTAATCGGACCTAAGTTTAGGACTGCGAGGTCTTGGAATGGGGCCAAACTGTATTCGAGAGATCCTTCGCTGCGAGGATTGGAGGGGAGGACTGGGTTTTGGGAGTATGGAGAATCGAAAATGGGAGAAGAGAGTCGGATTCCTCCGAGGATGGTGGCGTGTGTGTGTATGTATGTCGTATCAAGAAAATCTTATGGGTATCATCTGACTAGGAATTCGTTCTTGTCTGGATGTTTAGCGTTTTTGGTGATGCTCTTCACATGACTCCCTGCCTCAGGCTCGTGTTTTGCCCATGTGGCGCCATGTGGAATGTATAATCAGGGCATGATGTATGCCATCGAGAAGTTTTGAACCGCGCATGATCAACACGGCAGGGGAAAAAAGTCAATTGAAGGCGAAGAATGAACGGAAATCAATTTATGGAAGTTTCGATGCAGCAGGCAGCGAGATCAAAAGGTGATCTGTCACGCCGGGGAAGCCGATCCATGGGCGATGAGATCAGTCAAGAATGAAGAGGAACCGTGGGACATTGGATCAACCATCCCTACCGACTATCAAACTATAAAGATATGGAATCATTTGTCTACATATGGGTATACACCGTACAAGATGACTCGAGAGATCTTGCATAACATCGACGGAACCCCGGCCGGCATTAAGTCCGTCTGCATTCATAATTTGAAATTGGATGGAAATTAATAAAATAAAAAAAGAGTTACCCCTGAAAATTCTGGAACTCCTGAAACAAGAGCGCGTCCGTGCACGGGCTCTTTGTCGAAGACACGCCAAGTGGACTCTCCACTGCCGTCTCGGAGCAATTGCGTTCAATGCGCTTCCTTCTTTCTTTTCTCTTTTCCTTCTTCCTGGTCAATCTTTCCTCGACTTTGATTCTCCTAGACCCAATCCGGTTCTGTTTTCTTTTTTTTTTTTTTTTTTTTTTCTTTTTTTTTTATTCTCTCTCACACTTGATTTGACTTGTTTATTATTATTATCATTAGTATTATTATTTCCCCCTCTCCTTCATTCCCGCCCATTCCTTCTGCAGGAATCCATTAGTCTGCGTTCTAGCCGCACCGTCGTGAACCTCCCAAGGCAACTAACTAACTATACAACCTGCCATCATACTATTACTATTTTTGATTCTTATTACATTACCTTTAATTTTCCTTCCCTTCGCTCCCGTTGATTCTCTCTTTTCCTCTCTTTCTTCCCCCCTCTTCCCTCCCTGTTCTTGGCCAAACGCAATGCATCAGAGCCCACTATCATTCCCCCCATGCCGTCCCCTGTTTGATAAGCTTCAGTGATTCCCCCCAGTCTCGTCCCCATTGTGGCGGTAATCTTCCGCGTGGTGAAGTTTATTTCGTCTGCCCCCGAAGGCTGTCCTGGTCCCTCGTTCGTGGATTTAGTCTCGACGCTGCGCCCTGCTCACGTCTCTCATTTTTGGTTCCTCTGCGGAGGAATGCCGGTGGTTCGATGTGGACGCCATATCACCGTACTGCCAACCTAGTCGCTCCCTTTCTGGTCTCTCTTTGTTGGTAAGTTGTTACAGTTGCGTGGACCGGTGGATTACGACTGACCTGTGGTCAGGTCCGGCAACCTATAGATTATGATTTTATCTCCGGTCAAGGTTAGCGCTTCGTAGTTGCTAGCACTCAATAATGCTGACTCCCCGCTTCGATAGCCTGACCTGATACCGTCGAAATTTTGAGATACCCATTCGTCGACCTTGCATTTGAAGCCTTTGTTTTCTATCTGGACTGTCGCTACCTCTGTTCGATCACCTGTTGCCTATCTAGTGGTACACCACTGCATCCGCTCATTTTATGAACCTGCCATCACCTTGCACGATTCGACCTCTCGACCCGGATACAGCGCCATTGAGATCCCTTCAGCATGTCCCGCCCAAGCCTCAGTATTGGAAGCGACTCCCTACGAAGTTGTCTAGCCCCTCGAGATCAATCAACCGACTCCGACTCCGACATCTGCTACGACACAGCCCTGCCACCGATCACTTCTAAGCAGTTGATGATCAACTCTCGCTCATACCGCGGCTCCGACCCGTCCATCGTGGTAGGAAGCTTTCGTGGAAACCAAAAAGCCGCCGCCGCCCTTGGTTTCGCCCCGGACATGTCGAGCATGACTCGGGGGCCCAACGCCCATCGCCGGACCGGAAGCACTCTAAAGACC